GTGGCGGTCCACCACTGACAGCGGGGCCCACCATACCATTAGCTCCTTTTATTATATAATAATAAAAAAAAAAAAATCGTCGAGTTCAACCTACAGGACAATAAAAACGATGAAAAAAAAAGAAAAAAAAAGACCAGATTCGGGGAGCTTCGGACCGCGTCAACCAACCAAAGGAAAAGAGGTTCTTTACCCTCTGGCCTTTGTGCCTGACCACCGTCTACCCCGCTCCGGACTTCATTCGCCAACCGAGGAAACGAGGTTCAATACCATCTACTCCCTCGTGCCTAATCACCGTCCAAGCAGTTGACTTGCCCCGCTTGTCCTTCCACGAACGTCTCCCTCCCCCCGCCATTACACTATACACAACCACCTGCTGATGTCTGTAAGTTATGACCGGAATTGGTCCAGTGAACTCCTTCCAGGTGTCTCAACCGATTTTCATCATCGATAGCTCATTCGATGCGTATTTTTTTTGTAGATATGCAAATTCTTTTTTCAGTTGACCTTAGGCGTGACCCAATTGACTTTTCATTTTAATTTTGAACCCATATTCCCGTGTAATGCATCATTCGAAAGCACTCGATTTCCCCTGTTAGAATTTGTTTCACCGCTGTAAAAAATGTTGACCTTTTGACCCTCCTGCAGTCAATCTGAGTTGAGAGTGTACTGGCGCCATCTCTGTACAGTCTAGATGATTTCTTTGTACAGAGCCAGTTTCCAACTTTTGACTGAAGATCGAAGCTTAGATTTCTTCTCGGTTGTACTGGAAAGTGTTCGTCATTCACTTCACCCGTGATTCTCTCATTACCTGTCATTTATGTGTCCATTATTAGATTCAATGTAATTCCAAGTGTTTCCTGTCTTTACGTGCTAAATATGCATTATTGGTTTAATTTGTTTTGACAGGTATTCTACATCCCAACGGCGCTGCTGGGTGCCCCACCAAGTCACATTCTAGTCCACACCCAATTGAACCTTCTCTACCAATTCTGGCTTCATACGGAGACAATTTCCTCCCTGGGACCTCTTGAGTACATCATCAACACCCTATCGCATCACCGAGTCCATCACGGTCTGAATTCCATTTTCTCAAAGCTGGGAAGCGAAAAAAGCTGTTTCTAAGGTTTTAGTTTTTCACAGGATGCAACCGGTACTGCATAGACAAGAACTATGCAGGAGTGCTCATCATCTGGGATAGAATTTTTGGGACGTTTGAACCCGAAAGCGAGCAAGTTATTTATGGCCTCACCCATACAGTCAGCACTTTCAATCCCATCAAACTCCAAGTTTGTCATTTTGACGCATCTACGAGTTTTATTTGAAAAACTTCAAATAAAACTCTAACGAATGGATTCTTTCGGAATCAGTTTCATCATTTTCAGAACATCTGCAAATCCTTATGGGAGATGAAGAGCTTGGAGGACCGACTGAAAGTCCTTTTCTATGGCCCAGGCTGGAAACCCGGGCAACCAAAGCTTTACCCTAAGGATCTCCTGCCTGACGTCAGTCTCTAAGTTCATATAACTTTTTGATATCAATAAAAAAATCAAATGAATCAAATGAATAAAAAAAGATATGTATAGATTTGAGATGTACAAGCTTCTATTCAATATTAACCTACTATATATGAGGGCCACTCAGTAAGTTATTAATTTTTCACGAAGAGAAGGGTGTGAATGTAATTTTATCTGAGAATTAGTTACGTAGTATGGTCAATTGGTACTCTTCAAATCCAGACGATGTGGCTTTGGCTTGCTAGCATTGGTTTACTGCAGGATTAGCAACAGTGAGACCAGTTTTATCAATTCATGAACAATCACAAAAAGTGACAAATATGTTAGAAGTTGGAGACTTGAACATAATTGCGGAATATAATGTTGAAACATCGTACTTCTTGCAGTGTATTTGTGGCAAACGTGCCCTAAAGTGTGAAGCTTCCTACAACTGGTTGGTCAACTGTAAAAAAAAAGTGTTGATACTATATGGAAATAGATCTCCAAGGGAAGATGAGGAAGAATGGCACATAGAGACCATCGAGAGAGCAATTTGGACAGAGACAATTAGTATGCCACACGCCCATTAACCATTCCAATGGTTCAACGCCTCGAATATCATAGTCAAGTTGGGTTTTCCAAAATGTGACAGTTTTTGGGATGAATGAAGACCACGACTTGAATATGAAAACTTACAGTAGATTATCTTTGGTGCACATTCTAAGCAATCATATCAAAAGCGCATCAATGTTGAGTCATTCCCGGTCAAGTGATCAAATTTTAGGCGCTTTCGTTGCGTTGCAGTTTCTGATTTGCTCGGAAAAAATTCACACATAATGTGCTATAAGAGTTGTGGAAAATATCTCAATTCCAACGCTCTGACTCCAACAGTTCTCCGGGAAATTTCATGCCAGAGAGGAAAGGAGACCTTTGGAATCTAATTGTTATATTTGATCATAAAGAAGCGAGGAGGTCGTTCTTGGAGTTGAATTAAAGATGAGATAGTGTAGAATCAGAATATTAACTGTCTTTTATGATATATTGACGAGAAACTAAGTCATAAATTATAAAAAATGAAAAGATGCACAATTTAGCATAATTATTTTTGACAGTGAAAAGGATATCAACACAAAGAGCTTTTGGTACATTGGGAAACTAGTCAAAAGTTATATGAAGCGCCGAATTTTAAGTTACCATTCGGTTTGAAATAACGGAAAATAAAATTTGAAAAGTCCAATTTTCCCATTTTTCTCCAAATTTCACAGCTTCAATTACTCGTTTTAAACAATAACCAAGCTCATAACTTGTGACATTTTGAAGGTCTTTTCAGGCTCTCACCGTCGATATGTAATTCATGATGTTGAATTGACCCAGGTAGCACATAACATTGATTCAACATTGATTTGGTGTGGATCGAATGTAAGCTCATAACTTGTGACATTTTGAAGGTCTTTTCAGGCTCTCTCCGTCGATATGTAATTCATGATGTTGAATTGACCCAGGTAGCACATAACATTGATTCAACATTGATTTGGTGTGGATCGAATGTTTCACTGTTGAAGGTTTATACTTCCTTGTTGAATCAACATTGATTCAACGCGGTGACCATCACCGTTTATACACCCACATTGACTCAAAATTGAATCAATGCTGCGCTATTCACGGTGGAAGTGTCAACATTAAATCAGCCTTGATTCAATGGATTTTTTGGAGTAAAAAATCCCTTTTTTTATCTACTCTTAGGATTTTTTTCTGCACTTCATCAAGGTTCGTTGAATAATCAATCAAGTCAATCGCCAAGAATACATTACGATCAAGAAAAATGCTTGATTTGGGCAGATAAGAAGGTGGCTGAAATGACGCCTGGCCTAAAGTCTATCGCGGCAATCAAAAAGAAAAAGAAATTCTCGCGAAAGTCTGACATGATGGAATATTGTCTCAATACAAAGTAAAATTAGAAAAAGAAGATTTAATAAAAATCATATATATACATATTTTTTAAAAGCAAACTAATCGATTGACTTGAAGATGTTCAAATCTAGGCATTTACCTTACTAATGAACGAAAGTCCATATGTGAGGCTGGATCGGTGTGACCCATCCTATACTGAATATTAAAAACGCAATGAAGCTGCGTTCGTGGGTAGCCTCCGATGCTTGGATCTGTGTGCATGTGTGGCGCCTTCTGCCTGCCTCCGGTCTACGTCTCCCTCTCGCGGGCGAGCACTTTTTTTCCGCTTTTGCGACTGTCGGATCTATTCTCGAGAGCGTAATAGCCCGAGGGGGATGGGGGAAGAGTTCGGGTAGCATAAGAAGGCTAAAAATACAGTGGCGGGACCCGGAATCGAACCCTAGACTTCTTGATTCCCCAGCGAACGTGTTACCACTACACCGAGAAACTCTTTTCGTATTAAATTCCTTTCCATGTCATCCCTAACACTACAATGGGAGAGAGGGGCATCTTACGAACCACACACGCATACAAACGTGTAATGGGTTCGATCTCCGTTGAAGACGAAATTTATCAAAAATAAATTCGCGTTGGTGGAGGTTAAAATCGGAATGCGAACAGTAAGTTGAGGGTGACGCTGAGGTAGCTACCCGCATAAACGCTGGCAGCGGCATGCATTACAAAGAAACCTCACATATCGACATGCATAGACTGAAGGAGTATAGGAAATGGGTAGGGAGCCCGGGGAACCGAAAGGTGCGCCGACATATTGGGTCATGCAGGTCCGAGCTTCGAAGTAGTAAGTGGAGTAGCTGTAGCACTTGAATCGTGGTGGTGGCTGTGTACGCCCCTTGGTACTGGGGTCCAAATGGTCCATGTACTCCCCTGAATCGGATTCCACAAGGATATGGTAGGCCGTAGGCCAGGTGCAACTCGATTGGTGTAGTTGGTCATGAAAAAAAGCCTGATTTTTTTATGTTTCGATGTATTGTTGTGAAATTCTGTCGTTGCTGTTTCCTCGAAAACCGCATTCTTGATTAGATGAAATATAATCAAGGGAGTATCAAGCTGGGTGTTTATGTCGGCCATAAAGGGCTTGGTGTAGGAGAAGTGAAGTGACGACACTAGTTAGATATAGTCTAAGCTTGAACCGTAATGGCTGCTGAAATCATTCCTGTTCTCTTAATTAATAATGCAGTGTTATTGCAGTTCTCTTAATTAATAATGCAATAAGTGTTGTTCTGGGACAGTCTTGATGGTTCATGGTTATCATGTACAGTCTTTCCTATTTGAATCTGTTGTTTTTTTCATCATTGCTGCGTAACATGACTACCTGAGTATGGTGAATGCCTTTGACACGTATCGAAGTACAAAAGGTTATCGAAAGAATGGACAGACTCACGTGAAACAACTTCGCCTGCGTCAGCATTCCTTATATGTTAATTTAAAAAACGCTTCAGTATGGCATCAATACTTCAATATTGATTCAATGCTGACTCGATGTTGAAGACAGTAATATTGCGAGAACGTTGTCCGGTCAACGTTACATCGACAGATGTCTGGCGAGACATCTAGTGAGACATGGGCACAAACAAGATTTCCCGACTGCGTAATGCGATGGCAACTATTGAATACTTGCCCAACGTGGTTAGTTATCATATATATGCAATCAGTACGCGTCTCTAGTGCTTTTGGAGCAGTACTTGATATTTTCTCCACAAACGACGCCGGGGAAGGTATTTAACTTGCTGGATATATTCAACCAATGTGGCAACCTAACCGAACAGGACCCTGGATAATTCTGAGCAGGGGGATGGGCACAAAAAAGTTTGCGAGGTCACATTACTCCACGCAATCACGACGTCCTGTCTTCGAGGATAAATACAAATCATGATTACTGTCGAAGGGTATGTGGAGATAGCCTCTTATTACATCACCGTGATCGCGTCAGTGTCCTCATGCTTCCAGGGGAATAGGATACCTCTTCCTCATCTCAATATTAGGTTCGCATCGTCCTTGGATCTTAAAGAAGTGGATTCGGAGGATGGAGATCGTGTCCAAATTATATTCAAATAATACTTCAGCTATGGAAAGGGCGCATGCGCGCGAAATAATTGAAATGTTGAGACCTGTCATATCAACGTTGAGTCATTGTGGATTCAACATTTATTCAATGTTGAGGAAAATGAAATTTTAATATGGAGTCAACGTTGCTATGAAAATGTTGAATCAAAGTTGCAATGTTGCTTTTGAACATTGAATCAATGTTGATATACCATTGATGTCAACGTTAAATCAATTGTTGACAAAAATGAACTTTCAATATAGAATCAATGTTGACAGGCAACGTGGTTTCGTTTGCTGCGTTGACGAAATGACGTTGAATCAACGTTGATTCAACGTGAGTGTGCTACTTGGGGAATTTTCGCGACAAAGGAATTTCTTGAAATTTTCAACATTCCTGCTATCTTCTTGAAACGTATTACCCAAATTAGCAACTATGGAAGCCCTGGTGACACAATCGATGGAAAGAGCCTGATGAAAGCTTCCAAAAGTTAGAAGTTTTTATCTTGCTTAAAACTGGCAATTGAAGTTGTCAAAATTGGCGGAAAATTGACTGGTCAAGTGATTGTGGCTGTGCAAAACTCACCTCTTCTCAACTCTTACCCCTTCCTTAAAAAATATCAAGTCAGTAAAATATATGGATAGCCTACATTTCCAGCTAGAGATTGACCATATTTTGTGAGACTTTTCCAAGCAGGGTTTGATTTAAGGTACTATGGGAAGATGAAAATCGACCCCCCTGAATCGAAATTCCGCTTTATAATTGCTGTAAGGGACCTCAAGAAAGGGTCTTGGAGCCGATTGTTGACACTCTGCGGTCACGCCCGGGGCCATGATTTGAGGTCAAAGGTCACAATTTATATGCATCTCTTTGAAAATGTGTATCTNAGAAACCTCACAAATCGACATGCATAGACTGAAGGAGTATAGGAAATGGGTAGGGAGCCCGGGGAACCGAAAGGTGCGCCGACATATTGGGTCATGCAGGTCCGAGCTTCGAAGTAGTAAGTGGAGTAGCTGTAGCACTTGAATCGTGGTGGTGGCTGTGT